TACACCTCACTCTACCTCTAAAGTACTTGTTCATCTTGAATCACAAACCACTACCAAGGTTGTAAAGTACATGCACATTGCAATTCTAAGTTTTGTATGAGGTAAGCTTCAAGAAATGTTTAAAATGTGAGTGAAAACACTATGTAGAAGGTATAATATCTTTCACTTGCCTTTCAAATGCCTTTAACCTGCCTTCCACATGGCAAATTTGACATGCATGTGAAATTTTCATGTGAAGTACAATGAAGGCATGAAAAACATGTGAAGACTGTGCCTTGATTTTATCATTTTTAAGCCCTGGATTATGGGCAGATATGCATCTAGTAAAAAAAGCACATATAAATCATAAAACTTTTGATTTGTTTATACTCACCTCACTGTCAATAGCATATTTGCTGATCAAGAAGCAAGCTCCTCGATATAACAAAAGGGACAGGACTTCTCCAACAAGACGAGGAATGATACCACTGTTGACACCAAGAGATGACATTCAACAAGACATTGATTAAATGCTATTGTTAAGTGATTCGCAATTGAATTATTTCTTAACCATTAGCCACTAAACTCTTCTTTGCAATGCAACTATCACTGTGAATAGTTACTATTGAATAAAGCAAAGCACCTGCTGAACAAGAAATTTCTAATTAAAAAAAACACTTCTTTTATTCAAGCTACATTTTGTGCCTGGACCTCTTGATTACATTTGATTGACTTTCAACCAAGAATGAAAGCTAATGCTGATTTAATTTTACAATAATCCCACTTAGAAAAAACTAATGATTATTATGTAACAAACTACTATAATTCAAATCATAGTAACAAAGGATAAAAAACATAAGACATATAACTTAAAGTTTTCTTAATTTTAACTCCATAGTTATTCAGTAACAGAACATTCATTTATTCATTTATTAATAACAAATTCATAAAACTATTCTATCATCTGATATTTCCTACCTAAAAAATCCAGCAAGTCCTTCATTGTTATAGATCTCTTTGACTGATGCACGTAGTCCACTGAAAAAAAATTTGTTATCACAGTTATCACAATAAGATAAAAATGTACATGTTCTTGTCCATGATTGGCACATGCAAGTAATGAAAGGAACATTCAATTTATCAGAACTCCCAGAAGTCACAAACATGTAACTTCTCCCCATAATCTCCATACATTATCCAGCAAACAGGTAATGAGAATATTTAAAATTATCAGGAGGAAGTCATTATCTTGATCTACCACCAAAGTCTCATAACTAATTCACAATGATGTGTTGCAGCTGGAGGGGAGATTTAACAATCAAATGTTGGAATGTTGGGAGTTAAAAGGTTAAATCAATGAAACATTTGCTGTTACAATTCCAAATAGTAAGTTGAATTTGGAAAGTGAGTAAATTTTAAGAAAATCAGCCAATTCAAAAGAGGTGACCTCTTAAAATTTAAAAATTGTCAAATAGAGATGAAATATCATTTAGTGGATTGTGAGAAAAGAACTGACCTGTAAATAGTTTCTTGACCAACAAACTGAACCATCATTCTGACTGAGATCACTAGAAATTAAATAGGAGAGGTGTCAGTGGTCTATCAAAATTTGCTAAAAACATAAATTAATAAATAAATTAATTAAAAATAATACAAATTACAACAATTATAGACCACTTATCTCCTTTACCTTTGTCATCTAGAAATTAATAGCCTTGAATGTCTCATATTCAATTGAAATTCAAGCCATTATGATCTAA